TTGTGGATCTTGCATTTGAGATTGTGTTGGTGACATCTTAGGTTGAGATTCTTCTTCCTCATATTTGTTGAGCTATGGTTGATGAATTTCTAATTTCTTCAATATTAAGATGTTTTTTAATTGGTATTGAAGAACAAGAAGCTCTTGAAGGAACATATGTAGATTTTGGTCTAACACTAGGCTCACCTATGCTGAGTCGGGAAAAACGGTTGCAAGAAAATTTTAATCTAACCATTCCATCTTCAAATTCTTGAATTTGTTGTAAAGTTTTTGTTTTTTAAAATCAATTGGGGTACTTGATCTTTTAATTCCCATTCAAAAGGTAATTGAATATCATCCCAAAGGATTGTTTGAGAAACAATTACGTTTGAATTTCCTTGTTGAGGTTGGAAAGAATTGTTTCATTTTTGGGGCTAGTAATTTTTGCTAAATGATCTAAGATTGTAGTCATGGTTTCATTATAGATTCTATAGACTAGTGCAAAGGGAATATTGTCTGGTTCCATATTATAACCAAAAGATTGTATTTTAAATGTTAAAGTATTGAAAACTCCTGGATCTCTAAGAGAAATGGAAAAATTTGAAAAGCAATTGAAATAAACAGGACCATTGTAAAGGCTAGTTTCAACAACTCTTAATAAGGAATCGTTGAAATTTAAATGCTTTTTGTCTCTTAAATAGAGTAAGATTGCTACATTAAGACCACTCTTAGTAAGTGGTTTGATTGCAATTTGAACTAAGCCAAAATGCTTATATTGTAATGGCCCTCAAATTTTATTGTTTAATTTTTGGAAATTTTCTAATTAAGAGGTTTAGGGGTGTATTTGAACAAATTAAAGGTTAGTGGTGTTTTTGTAAAACCTGGTAGAATTTGGGCTAAGTTGAGAGAAAGTAAAGAGGGAAGGTTTGAAGTGGAAGGTACCCAAGTTCGGGACCAATTTGGAAAATAGAGGGGGGAGTTATTTGAAAGGAATAAAACTCTCGTGGGCCAGATCATGATAGAAGAGGGGCTTTTGCCAGAAGTTGACTGAAGGTCCTCGAAGCCAAAATTGCTCCAATAGGAGCAAGGCAACTCCCCGAGGACCTTAGGTATTTGTGCGAGGATGAGAGACGAGCTAGCTTGTGTGATCAAATTGAGTGTTTGCATGAAAAAGTGGAAGAACTGGAGCTGGGAGAGCCAACAGCGTCTAATGGAATTTTCGAGAAAAAAATTTGAGTTTTTAAACAAAATTCCTCGAATTAAAACTTATTAATCAGCTCGAGGACCTTAGAATTCCTATTCATGGGCTTTGATTTGGTTAGTTAAGGATGAAATCTGGGTTTTTTGTGGTTTTGAAGGGGTTCGGGTTGTTGCAGACAACCAGGTCTGCGACTTAGGTTTCCGGGCAAAGATGGCAAACCTAGATATTATCCGGGTTTGTCCTAAGTTGATTGGGCCGATTTTGACCCAGTTGAGCTAGAACCAACCGGTTCAAGGCATAGGCCAGCTCACAACAAGGAAGTGAGACTGGTTCCCAGTCCAGCAAAGTGAGGGGAACAAGATGGAATAGGGGTTGAGCAGTGAATTGCTTCGGTTCACCTAAATTTTTGGGGATTTATGGTTAAACCTGCTGGTTTTAGTGTTTTGGGCTCGATTCAGGGACTTTTCTACCCGGTTTAGCTTGATTCTATGTGGTTTTTGGTCGGTTCAGTTCGATTTTGTGTAGTTTGAAGCAGTTCACCCTAGTTTATGAATAATTAAGTTTGATTCACCTCGATTTATGGGGATTTGAGCCTAGTTCAGCTCGCTTCATGGGAAATTGGGGCCAGTTCAGCCGGTTCAATAGAGTTCCAGTTTGGTCTGGTTTGGTTTTGGCTGGTTCAGTCCAAATACAAGGGTACTTGGGCCCGGTTCAAGTTGGTTTAATAATTTTGGAGACCGATTCATCTCGGTTTTAAGGATTTGATTAAAGATAAGGTTATGTTTTGGTTTGGACATCAGATAGAGTCGAGTAGGGATATCTAGGGGGTCTCGGGATGCATGTTAAAGGCCTTGATTAGCAGGGTCTTAAGCCACTTTCGGGAGTCGAGTCTTTTGATGTGAGTTATAATTTCGGTTCTGACTTGTGACTTGGTGATTGTAGATACACTTGAGGAGATGCGTTTTGACCCGCGAGCCGTATGTCAGAGTTCTGGATTTCGGTTCTGACGTGTCTAGTGAGTGGCAGTACTTTCTATACATGTATCTATACTCTAGTTTTCTATTATTTACTGTGCTTTGATTCCTGAATTATGATATTAAATTTAAGGATATGTATCTATCTGTTTTAAACTATGATAAGCTTGAAACTATTTCTGTAATTATTTACATACATGCCTCAGTGATACTTGTGTTTTTAAAAGTTAACTGTCGGGAGTTTTCTGTGATCTGATTTTAAGGAACACGGTGGTGTTCTGGTACTATGTGGCTTCTGTGATTCTGATTTTAGTTCTGCACGGGATCCCGGTACGATATGTGATATATGATATGTGAGTGGAGTACTTCTGACATGAGATATGTGATACATTTTGATACTCTAACATGTGTTTGATCTTCTAATTCTAATTGTTATGTATAAAATATATGTGTTATCTATGGCAAATGTGGTTTTCTGTAAACCATGCTATTAGTTATTATTTGAGATGATATCTGTGTTCAAAACATTTATGATTCATGTCTCTACATGTCTAGAGAAGTACTATCATTCATTGAGTCTTGTATTCACCTATTTCTTTCATTTTTCCAGATTTCTATTTTGATCTTCAGCGTAGCTTTAGGGTTCAATCTTGCCCACCGCTGTATTGATTTTGATGTACGGGCATGTTTTTATATTTCTTCTTTTGTATTTTAGCGACTCCATGTATCGCTCAGATGCGTTTTTTGATTGGTATATATATTGATGATTATTTTTGAAATCATATTTTTTTCTGTCAATATGGTTGGAGGCTTACTAGGGTTGGCAAACTAGCCTTAGTGCCAGTTACGCACTCGGGTTGGGGCATGACATATATTGATATTTTTATTTATGTTTTTGGATGGCTTTTTGATCTAATAATTTAATAGTTTGATGTTCACTTTGTAGGCATATTGTTTGTTCAACATTTTGATAGAATGATCAGATAGAAATTGAAAAGATTTCATTTTGTAAATTTCTTGTATTTGTTCTTCATTATTAACTATGTTTTGGGACAAACTTGATGTCACAAACATAGTTCTAGATAAGAATGTCATAATTTAAAAAAAAATTTTGAGTTTAAAAATTTTTATTAACCATTTCCCAAATATTATTCTATTTTAAGCATGTCAACGCTTTACGCTTATCACAAGATTTACACTATTCTTTGCCCTTAAGTTATGCAACTCTAAACACAAATTCAGATAAATGTAATATTTAATTGATAATTAATTAAAATTTTCAGACCTAAAAAACTTTTCAAATTGTAGCTATCTTTCCTACTCCCATGGCTTTGATGCCAAAGTAAGCCCAGATCCTTTAAATGTCATTGTACTCTTTTAATAAAGAATTTTTGAAATTTAAATATCTTTTGTCTCTTAAACATAATAAGATTGTTGTATTAAGACCACTCCTAATAAGTGGTTTTATTGTAATTTAAAATAAACCAAAATGAATATATTGATATTTTTTTTTATGTTTTTGGATGACTTTTTTATCTAAAAATTAGATAGTTTGATATTCACTTTGTATGGATATTGTTTGTTTAATAGTTTTGATAGAATAATCAGATAAAAATTGAAAAGATATGATTTTGTAAATTTCTCGTATTGAAATTCTAAAAATATCCTAATTATTAATTGATTGTTTCATATTTTAAAAAATTTATTCTTTAATATTAATTATATTTTGGGATAAATTTGATATCACAAATAAAATTTTAGATAAGAATACCGTAATTTAAAAAATTTTATTAACTATTTATTAAATTTTGATTTTAATTTAATAAATATTAAAACCACTGTATAATCCCCCGCAAGCAAATAGTTAGACGTGCCCAATAGCCATTTGCTCGAGGGATCAATTTAAAATTTCAAGAAGAATGAAGATAAATGTGCAAATATGAAGTTGTTTATTCTATTTATTCTTTTTTAACTCTGAACCGGCAGGTTGAAGTATGAACTCGTGAATAAGCCGAGGGAATAAAGTTTAGTTTGTCTTGAACGTGGCAAGGGCAAAAAAAGTTAATTGAGTTATGTCGTTTTATATCCTCAGTTTGATATTTATGAATTCAAAAATTGAATAAAAAATCATTTATGCTAATATTAACTTTTTTAGATGAGAGTAAATTATAATTTAAATTTATGAATTATTTTTTTAAATATAAATATTATTTGATCTTTAATTAACATAATAAAATAGTTAAAACCATTTTTTGTAAAAAAATTAAACTAAATAAAAATAAAGGAAAATGCTAAGCCAATTAAGAAAATCCGTAGTTTTCAAATATTCCGGAAAATAGATCATCAAATTAAAATTCATAATTTATATCTATTTTTTGATTATTACCTAATTTATTATTTATCAAGAAATCAGCTTTAGATTTTTTCTGTTATTTAATTGGGTTTTAAAAAATTAAAGAGAAAAATATTATTTGGAACGCCTAAAAGTCGGCTTTTTCTCGAAGCTTACTTTTGAGGGGTTCTAAGGCTATTTCTCTCTATCTCATACAAAATAAAAATTAAAAAAAACCCATTTTCTAAATTAAATTAAAACATTTTGATATGTCATATAAAAAAAAAAAAAGCTAAAAAAAATAATAAAGAGAAGGAAAGCACAAGGTAATAGAACTCAACTATATATTATTCATGGGTTACCAGGTTACAAACCAAGAAGTAAAAGTAACAAGCACAAAGTTACGGACTTAAACCAAACACCAAGCATTGCCGGCCATATTGGATGTATTATAGCTTCAACTGATGATAGGAAATAGTATTATATATGGAAACCAGGAACGCATGAAGAGAACTCATGGACTGGTTGAGTGAGATGGCTTGAGAGATTGGGTTGCGACATCCTGGGGAAGGGTTGGGATTTTGGGCAAGTCAGGCAATTCCGGAATATCCAAATGCGGAATTTCCGGCAACTCCGGCTTCGGAATATCTGGGATGTGGGGCAATTCCGGCATGGGCAGCTCTGGAATCAGATCCGGAATTGATGGCAGTTGAGGCTTGGGAATATCAGGCAAGGTTATCTCCAGAAGACGGCGAGCCCCCGCTGGCATTGATAGTGCCAAGACGATGAGCAGCAGTGGCAAGAGGAAGGATGGGAGCTTGGTAAAAGCCATTTTGGTGGTAATGAAAAAGCTACTTTTTGGAAGAAGGCAGAAGTGTTTGGTGATGCACGGGGTCTCGTGCATGTGGGTTTTTATAGTGCGAGATGAGGAAGAAGTGGAAGATGGGGGGTTGGGTTGGTGGGAAGATTCGTGTCTGGTTAGCTCAACATCTTATCTTTTATATATCTATTTATGGTAAAACAAAAATGTGATTCCAATTGGAGACACTATTCCGGAGAATCTCAGAATTCCTGGTTTTCTGAATTCACTGGAAAATTACAAAGTAACAACTACTAGTACACCAAACATTGGGATATTTCTTGCAAGTCACACATGGGGTATTCACATATTGGGCCTAAATGGAATATAAAAGTTATTCATGAAGATATTGAGAGTCTTGAAGTTTTATGCTGTCTAATTAAGTTCTAATTTAAATTTTTTGTGTACTTATTTTGACTTTTTTGATATTTTATATAAGTAGGCAAAAGTACTTTTTTGCCCAACAAAATAAATAAATAGACCTTAATAACAAGCTCAATATTTCCAAATCCATTTGTGATTTTCACATATATTGATTTCCTCAAACATGGTCTAGATGCAATTTATTTTATTTATCTTAGCCTTGGGAAATTCAGGCAATTTCGGACATCCACTTAGGAATAGTTGGCCACTCTTGCTCCAAAGCTCTTCCTTTGACAACTCTGATAGCTCAGGTGGAGGAAATCAGAAAATTTTAGAACTTCCACTCGGGGAATAACTGGCAACTCTGGCTTTGAAGTTTTCGGGATTGTGGAAGTTTAGATTTTGGCAGTTCCGGCCACTCAAGCTGGGGAAGTTCGTGCAAATTTGGAACCTCCACTTCAGGAATAGTTGGCGACTCTGGTTTTGGAACAAGAGTGAGTGAGCCAAAAATTTGCTTTGGTTGTTGATAATTAAGTTTTATTTTTTGATATTTAAATTTAGATATGTTAAAATTCAAGTCAAACTAAAATTAATCATAAATTGAACTGAATTGAAATTAAATTTTAGTACAACTTGATTTGGTTTGAAATTTAATTTACTGCTATTTGATAATAATTAATATATATATATATATGTGTATGTGCGTGCGCGTGCATATGCATGTGTGTGTATAAAAAAAAATCAATTGATACTAATGTAAGTATAAAATATTTATACCAAATCTTATATTATTGATTTGGTTAAATTTAATGGATAAAATTAATTATAATTGTATTCCAATATATTAAAAGTAAATCTCGATATTGATCTCTCAATTTCAAATTTAGTGTAAAAATAGTTTGTCAATTTAAAAATGTAATATTTATATCTGTCAAGTTTAATATAATTCAAGTCTAATCTTTTTAACTAATTTTTAGCCATTTTTTAGTCACTTAGTAAGGGCAAATTTATTATTAAAAAGAATATATAACATTTAAGATTTTTCAAAGAAAAAACAATAGATTTGGAAATGAATTTGGTTTATAAAAAAAGTCAAACTTTTTAAAGGTTTTTTATAAATAATAATTTTCAAGTTTTTTTACAGTTAATTTAAAGTTTGACACATAAAAAAATAAAAATTAATTATATTTTTAGATTCATAAAATAAATTATCTTTTTTTTTTGACTCAATTAATAGAAATAACGGGAAACAACTGATAATCATCCAAATACTCGATAACGTATTTTTTCTTAATCATACATTATTTTTGTTAAATTATAAAATTATGAAATTATCTACATCTTTGAAAATTTGTAAATTTTACTAATATTTTTAATGACAAATTTGCCCTCACTAAATAACTAGAAAATGGTCGAAAATTAGCCAAAAGACTATATAAGAATGTGTATTAAACTTGAGGGATATAAGTATTATATTTAAAAAATGTGACACTTAATTCAAATTTAAGGGACTAGTAATTAAATTTACCTATCTATTAATTTATAGTTATCTTTCTTTTCAAAATATTAATGAATCACATCTATTAATTTTAACCAAATTAACAGTGTAAGATTTTGCGAAGTACTTTTACACTTATATTGGTATCAATTGATTTCTTATATATATGTTAATATGTATACATATTATTATAACATGGTATATAGCAAGCAATTATACAAAAACTAATAGTTTAAAAAGTTTTTGTTGAGGAAAAAATTTTCAGAATTTGATTTGTGAATAGAATGGATTGTTTTGAATTTTAGACCTAACTAACTTATAGACTTCAATTATTTTTTAGTCTAAACCAAAGAAATTCAAATAATAAAAATCAAACCAAATTTTAAAATTGAAATTAGTTTAGTTTAACGTGGTTAATTAGTTTGGTTTTGCACATTTGAGAGTAGGCCTATTTACAATTTGTGAGCTGGTCTAGATCGAAGTTGAACCACCAGTTTCGGTCTTGGAAAAATGTAAACCAGGACCAAAATTTTGAAAGCTGGTTCATTTTTAGTCCTGGGCCTTCACAATTTTAGTTTGGTTTTGATTCCAATTCAATCACAATTCCAGTTTAGTCCTAGTTCAATTTAACTAAAAAAAATTAAAATATTAATTTATACTTATTTTTAGATCATTGAAAATAGAATCCTAATAATAATCTCATGTTAAGAAACTGTCATAATTTTTTTTTAACCACAATAATTGTAAGGAAAAAATAAAACAAAAATTTTATTTCGTATAAAATATAAACTATATTTCAATTACTTACATTTTTTTTAAATGTTGTTACTTTATTTTTCATATGTTAAACAAATTTTTGTCATCTTTTACATGTTATTCTTAAATTTAAATTTATGTAGTGGAAGAGATTTTTATTTGTTCAGGACATATTTAAATTGATGATATTTAAGATTATAATTTTTTTTATTTGTTAATATGTCTAAAATAAATGTTATAACTACAAGTAAGTCTTTTTTATATCTAAAAAATAAATTATATAAATTTATATTTAAAAATTAAGTGGAAGTCTTTTTTGATATCTAAAATAAAAAAGAAAAACAATTTTTTTACGGTTTGATTCACGATTCAATCTTTTCGGTTTCGATCATGGTTTAATTCTGGTTCAAAGTTTCGATTCCGATTCAACTATTCTAGGTAGTTTTCGGTTCGATTTTGGTTTAAATACCAAGAATCAAGAATTTTAATTGAAATATAAAAATTTTTGATTCAAAATTGAACTAGGCTGAAATTAAACAGTTTAACTAGTCCAAGTTTTTCATGATTTGGTTTGGGCCGATTCATGATCTGAATTGAAGCGTGAACAAGGCTATTTAAGAGTATTGGCTACGGTAGCTCTGGAAGTTCAAGCTTAGGAAGGTCATGAAATATAGGAACAACCACTTCAGGAAAAGTTCTGGCTTTTGAAGTTCTGGGATGTAGGGAACTTCTGACTTTGGCAGCCCAAGGCTAAGGAGCCCAGGATTTGGAAGTTCAGGCCATTTTGGAATATCTGTTGCAGCAACAATTGTCAACTTCGGTTTTCAAAATTTTGGCTTCAACAGCTTAGGCTTGGGAAGCTCAGGCAATTCCGGAACTTCCTCTTTAGGAATAGTTGGCAACTCTAGCTTTTAAATTTCGGGGATACAAGAATATTTTGGCTTTTGTAGTTGTAGGCAATTTTGGAACTTCCACTTCACGAATAGTTGGCAACTTAGGCTTTAGATTCTCTGGGATGTGGGGAAATTTAGGGTTTGGAAATTTTGATAACTCAGCTTTAGAATCTTTGGGATGTGAGGAAGTTCTGGGTTTGGAAATTCTGACAACTAGGGCTCGAGAAGCTTAGGCTTAGAATTTTGAGGCAATTTTGGAACCTCCACTTCTAGAACAGTTGGCAACTGTGGCTTCGGAAAATATTCTAGCTTTGGCTGATAATAAAATATTTTGAAAAACCTTATATTTGAGTGAATAATTTTAACACCAAACTCAAAATTAAGAATGCGGAATAAGAATAGATATATCTCCAGCCATTAATCAAAATCCAAAATTGTGTTTGAAACCGAAAGTCTCCTATTGCACAATGTTCAAATATGAAAACTGTAAGAGTTTTTCTAAACTCTCAAACATTTCACTAATTTTCATCAAACGTGATAAATACAAATAAATTAGAGATAATTAAATAGATAAATACAGAATATATTTATATGAGATTATTCTTTATATTAGATAATTCTAATAATAATAATTATTAGATATAATTAAAGATAATTCCAATATTGGCAGCCCAAACTTGGAAAGTTCAGGTAATTTTGGAACTTTCACTTCAGTAACAGTTGCAGCTCTGGATTTGGAAGTTCAGGCTTTGATAGCTCTGGCAACACAGGCTTCGGCGGGTGATTTTGGAACTTCCTCTTCAGGAAAACTTTTTTAAGTCTTTCCTTTTCTAAACCCACTAGAGAATAAATAATTACTAAAACACACCAAACTTTGAGACTTTTTGGCAAATTGCAAGTGAGAAATGGGTTATTTCCGTCTTGGGCCTAATGGTCGAGATGTTTATGCTGTATAATTAAGTTTTCAATTTATTAAAAATACATTTTTGGAATCCGAATTAAATCATGCGAGAATACTGTCTATTTCAATGTAATAAAATAGAGAAATCCTAATTCCCTTCCAACTCCAACATTCTTGAAGGATGTAGAAATTTGTTATCTCAATTTGTCTCAACCAATCGTTAGGTTCCTCTAGTTCACAGCTGTAGGAATGTGCAAACCAAAAGTCCCCTTTTTTTTTAATTAAGTTTGGTTTTATTTTTATGATTTTCTGGTTTATGTGTTATAAAATTTAAATCAAACCAAATTAATAATAAACCAAACTGAACTAAACCTAAATTTTAGTTCAGTTTGATTTAATTTTTGGTTTTAGGTTTGATTCATTACTATTTAATAACTATTAAATAAATTATTTATTTAATTTTTTATTACGATATATGTTTATGTATATATACATTTATATAGACATATATGTATACACATCCGTAAATATGTATACATTTATTTATGTACATAATCACATTTATATCCGAAATTTCTAAGATTTTTGTAGGAGTGAAAATTTTTGTTGATGGAAAATTTTTAGAATTTTGGTTTATAGTTTAGAATGATTTGATTTGGGTTTTAGACCAAACTAAATATAAATTTCAATTATTTTTGGCTCAAAGCATATCAACTCAAACTTAGTAGAAACCAAACAGGTTTTGCACACCCTGTATAACTGAACTACCTTCCTATCCAGAACCCAAATTCAAGTCATATAAACGGAGACATCCCTTTAATAGAATTATCCCAGCTGTATAAATAAATCATAAATAGAGTCTCACCAAGTTGGAAACGGTTTCTCAAGAAAAGAAAGTACCCTTTTCTTCTTACCGGCAAAACAGTTAGCTCAGCAACCAGATGAATTCCATAATGTCCTCCCTATTTCTAAGTTATGTACCTTGAGTTGAGGTTATTGACTTGGATACAGTTTATCTATATAACTCTCCCATTTATGAATTTTGTATCCCGAACTTGGATATGACTCGATTTGCTGAGATTTATTATATGCTTTTTCTCAGAGGAAACAAAATATAATGGATAATTTAAAATTACCGTCTCTACCCCCTGTCAGAGTGTGTACTGTAATTGATTTTTCGTTAATTATGAGAGACTGAAATTAAAATCAATGATGCATAGATTTAACTGTTAATTAACTCATAAATTTTGTCAGGAGTAAATCAAAAGAAAGGAGCTAAACATGTATATCATCTCTCAGAGAGTGTGTGAGTGCTTTGTTGAGATTTACAGTAATCGGAAGGATTACTCCTATTTTACAATCCATCAATATCTTAAAAAAAAAAATAAAATTCAGGAGCTATTTCTCTACCTTGCACTCATCCGAGATGTTTAGGTCAAAGTTTACAACCCCAAGCTCAGGATTCACTTAATCCTTTGGTTTATCTCCTTGGGTCACTGGCACCAAATGGTCATATAAAATTCTCCTTTACAATGTGGCTTTTGTATTTGAAAACTCTTTTATGTTTTCTAAAACATACCCATTTGGCATATTGTTTTCAGAAACTGTTTCCGGAAGAAATTTTTGAAAACACTGCTATTTCCTAGAGAACAACCAAAAATTTAAAAAGCCCCTTTCAGTCAGAAATGGAAAATAATATAATTTTTGAGGTTTCTCTGTCTTTTCTGTTTTTGGAAATATAGATGAAAAATCCAAATAAGGTATAGTTTGCAAATATAACATAAGCCATGTTTAGAATTCTGGTAAAGCAACTAAAAAAGGCACTATGAATTTGTTGATAGAGGGTTCTCATAAATATGGATGTTTATAATGTAGGAATAAAGAAGGGGAAGTTCAAGTGCTGGGTGTGTGAAAAATTTGTCACTGTCATCCCTACCTCTCATCTTGTGATATCCCAGTCTCACAGGCAATTAATGTGTAAAGCCATATTATATATAAAATTTTACAAATTACTACTAAACAATTAGGGTTCGAGCATTTTTATTTAATAATTTAAATTTAACAAGTTATTATGACTAATATTCCTTACATGGTTACATTGCTTAAATATTTTTTGAGAGAAGTCTAGTCCTTGGTTAATTTTCTGAAATAAGTGGAAAGCAAGTACAAAGTACCACCTAGTATGCTAAACCTAGAAGCCTTTCTTGGCAATCAGACATTTAAGGGACATTTCAACTTTGGGCCTAAATCGAAATCCAAATTCATAGTTCATGAATTACTGACAACTTAGATCTTTCAAGCTGTATTCATATATAAGTTTAAATTACAAAACCTTTTTCTTTTCTTTTCTTTTTTATTTTTACAAGCAAATGAAATCCTGTGAAATATGCTGTCCTGGATGTTGAATTTGATTTAGCCTGGATTTTGATAGCCCATTTGAGAACTGAACGAAGCAGCTAATGTTTAGGGACAAAGTTCTAATTGGTAATTTAAATTTCCGTCCATTGTAGATAATTCTTTTCTTGCCTAAACTAAAAGCACTAGCTCCAGTAAGCAACTTAATAATTGAGTTCATAATGATAAATACTACTTCTATGTTTCGCCCATAGAACTTGACCATTTTTTTCAGAGATTTGTGATTCTCTTCACCCAGCAGTTAAACAAAACTCTGCCATGGCATGTTCACATTCGGAGCCCATGATCAAGCTTCAGTTAATATCAGCATTTTTTTCCATTCAAATTTGATGTATATTTTCTTTTCAGCGCGACTTTTATGTAGTAAATATAGTCAAATGGATTGCAGGATCAATCTTCAAGGAATGGTTGAGTAAGAAGAAATTGGCAGTTCAGGAAACTTTGGCACTTCTACTTCAAGAAAAATAGGTAACTCAGAATTTGGATGTTCAGTGATGCGGGGAAGTACTGGCTTGGGCAGCTTTGGCACTTCAGACTTGCTAGGCTTAGAGTTGGGAAGCTCCATCTTGGGAAATTCAGGCTTGAGAAGTTCAGGCTTGGGAGGCTCAATCTTGGAAACCACAAGCTTAGGAACCTCAGTCTTGGGAAGTTTAGGAGCAGGAACCCCAGGATTCAGAGCCTCAGGCTTGTGAATTTCAGGCTTTAGAACCTTAGTTTCGGGAAGTTCAAGTTCAGGAACCTCTGGCTTGGGGATGTTCGGGTTTAGGAACCTCAGGCTTGGGGAGCTTAGTGATGGGAGCTTCAGGCTTGGGAAGCTCAGTCTTGGGAAGTCCAGGCTTGGCAATTTCAGGCTTGGGAACATCATCTTGGGAGGCTTTGTTCAGGTTTAGGAACCATGGGCTTAGGAAGTTCAGGGCGAGGAAGCTGAGGCTTGGGAAGCTCAGTCTTGTGAAATTTAGGCTCATGAGTCTCAGGCTTAGGAAGTTCAGGCTTAGGAAACTCAAGCTTGGGAAGCTTAGTCTTGGGAAGTTCAGGCTTAGAACCCCTAGTTTGGGACATTCAGGCTTAGGAAGCTTGGGCTCTGGAAGCTCGTCCTTGGGAAATTCAGATTGGGGAATCTCAATTTTAGGAAGTTCAGACTTGGGAATCTCAAGATTGAGAAGTTCAGGCTTAGGCACCGCAGGCTTGAGAAACTCAGTCTTGGGAGATTTGAACTTAGGAATCTCAGGATTTGGAAGTTCATGCTTGGTAATCTCAAGCTTTGGGGGAACCTTAGAGTTGGTTTTGGGCTCGGGAAGCTCAGCCAGAATCTGGCAAGCCTTCGCAGGCACAGTGTTGCCACTCATTGATTCCAATGTGATGAGGAGCAGCAGTGGCAGAAGGACGGCCAACTTGGCAAAAGCCATGTTAAGGAGACTGATAAAATCAACTTTCTAAGAAGGCTACGAATTTGGTGATGCATGGCTTTCATGTGTGTTGGCTTTTATGGTGGAGGAACTGGGAGAGGGGAGTTATGGGGTTGGGTTGGTCAATTGATCTATCTTTGTTAGCTCAACAACTTATCTAGATACAGATTGCATTTTGTTTTTCCAGAGAACTCAGTCCTAGACTCCTAGGTTTTTCTCAATTCACTAGAGATTAACCAATGAGCAAAACAACAAACTTTCAGACATATCTGGCAAGCAGATATGGATATTTCCACTCCGGGTCATAATAAAATTGGAAATTTCTTAAAGATTTTGATGAATAGATCTTTTATGTTGTATAATTAAGTTTTTAGTTTAAATTAGTCCTGAAAATATCTCTACCGTTGATGTTTTCACAAAACAATCTAACCAACAATATCACTTTGCCTTGCAATTCAATCTTAATGCTTTCCAAATCTACCGGTCATAAAAAACTCAATAAAGATTAGCAAATTACTTGGCTACTTCTTGCTCACAACTAAATGTACTGTTCACTAATTTGAATTCTCATCCCTTAAATTCGAATTATCCCAACTGTATAAATAAAACATACACAGTGAGTCACCAAGCTGGAATTGGGCGCTGAAGCATTATTAAATTCGGTTTTCTTCTTGCCAACAAAATGAATGATGAAAGATAGTTAGCCAACTAGATCAAGGAGTAATCTTATTTCTGTTACCAAGTTACTTATGTACTTTGTGTCAAGGTTATTTACTAAAGTGCTGTTTGGTAGGGTGCACTTATGGGAGAACAATCTATTTAGTAACCCAAGCTTATGAGATGTTCAGATACGTTTAAGAAAGCCTAAAAATCTAAGAAGCCTAGAGCCCAATTCAGGGCTCACAGATTCAATTGCTCATAGGCAGATAATAGCCTCTAAATCAAAAGATGATTTTGCTCATGGACAAAGTCTATAATCACATGGGGTATACATAAACTGTGCTCTTTTTATTTTTATTAGAACATATATGCTCTTCAATCCATGGTATTAATAAGTTCAGATGTCAAAAATGTATCCCCCCCCCCCCCCCCCCCAAAAAAAAAAAAAAAAAAAAAAAAAAAGACTCTAATTTTAACTAATTATAAGCCAAGGCATATAAGTCCACAAGTTTACAAAGCTGAAATTGGCAAAAAAACCCTGTGTACATGATGATTCAATTTGTTTCATTCAGGTTTAGGATGAATTTTGATAGTGAATTTGAAAACTTGATAATGTGATTGGTGGTTAGGAAGCGCTGATTCAGACAGGTACACCACTAGGAATAATCTGTGCAGGCTGGACTTTATAATAATATATATTTATAATATTTTTATATGCTATGTATTTGTTGTTAGATATAGTTATTTTGACCTCATTATTCTAAGTGTTTCTGGAAAATATAAATTGGTGTTCAAATAATTCCTCGTATGAAATATGCAAAATATCCCCATAATCCTTTATTCTTCACCATTTTTAGCATCCTCAAATCACCAGCAACTAGTGATAATTTATCTAATGTCTTTAATGCTTTGCTTTATATGTATATACTCTAACTAAACAGGATTAAAAGAAAAACAGAACGAATATAAGTAGGAAAATGAAGGTGGCTCTTTTTGGAGCAGAAGCAACAAAACAAACAACGGTGCATGATTCAAGAAACCTCCAATAGGCGGGAATTACAATAACAATCTACTGCACAAATCAAACACCCTAGAATGCCAAACAGGACACAAAAGCCCATGTTTATAGTAAATCCTCATAAGGCGAGTTGCTTCAAAACTTCAGGACTGATTGAGTGAGAGGGGATTGGCAGTTCAGGCAATTTTGGTACTTCCACTTTTGGAATAGTTGGCAACTCTGGCTTTGGAACTTCTGGGATTAGGGGAAGTTCTGGGATGGGGGGAAGTTCTGGCTTTGGCAACGCAGGCAGCTCCGGCTTTGGCAAAGTTGGAAGATAACCTGGCAGTGATGGTAATTCGGGCTTGGGAAGCTCAGGCATGGCAATCTCAAGTAGGTGCCGAGCCTTGACAGGAATCATGCTTCCAGTTATGGATGCCAAGATGATGACCAGTGGAGGGAAGGAGGATGCAAAGTTGGCATAGGCCATGTTCTGAAAAAACGCTCTTCTGGCAAAGCGGAAGATTTGGTGATGCAGGAGTATTCATGTAAATGGGTTTTTATATTTGCAGGAATGGTGTGGGAGAAAGTTCAGGGGCTGAATTGGTGAGCAGATTGGTGTCTGGTTAGCTCAACATCTCATCTGTCAACTTAAAAATTGCATGTTTTTTCAAGGAAAGCCTTGTCCGTTAAATTCTATATTCACCCTTGAAGCTTTCTTCACAATTAATTAGATAAGGGACATTTCCACGTGCATTTTGGGCCTAAATGGAAGATACATTTCAAAATTTATGTATCTTCCGTGAAAAAGATCAACAGCCCAGATCATTTATACCATAACTAAATTTCAAAACAAAATTTCTAGCAGTTAAATATTTTCATCTAAATCCTGTGAAATATTGCACATTTCAAGGAAAAACGGATACTATCCAAATTATAATTGCAGACCTACCTACCGAACGAACAAATTCAACTGATAGAGTTATCCTAACCGTATAAATAAATCATAAACATACGATCACCAAGCTGGAAATGGGTTTTTCATCAGAGAAGCATCTTTTCCTTCTCACCAGCAAAATGAACTACATAATTTTCCGCTCTAATCCTGAGTTATGTAACTTGTGCTAGGGTCGTTGACTTAGGCATGGCACAATTTTGTTCAACTATCTCATTTCCTTTCCATTTTGTAACTTCTATGGTTGTTTTCAAATAAGTTATTTCTAAATTTATAAATTTCAACTAAGGTGACGTACGGTATTATAGAATTTTGTTAAGAAAATAAGAATGTGAGTAAAAATTTTAAAAAAATATATCAGATAAACACACATTGAAATAGGAATTTTCAATCCTTAAAAAATCATGATTTCATCGAATAAGGGAATCCAAATTCCATCACATCACTAAAGTTTAGTGATAGAATCCGGATTCCATTCTTTGAGAAAAACTCTCACTTATGTGTATAATGACTATATTACCCTTTATTTTTTAAATAAATGACAAAAATATCTTATAAATATAAAAAATTATAAGTATTTATAAAATTATATATTAATATATTATAATATAATAAATTGTATAATATGATATATTATATATATTATATAATTTATTATATTTATATAATATAATTATACATAAGTAACTTATTATATATATATATACACACACATACACACATATATATGAATTTAATATTTTAATGTTAGAATAAAAAATTAATTTTAAAATTTTTAATATATTCAGAATATATTAAAAGTTGATTTTTTATTTTTTAATTTTTATAACAAAGAATATTTTTGTCTTTGAACTTTTTTTTTCTTTCTTATTTCTATTCTAACATGTCAAAAATACTAAAGTAGCATATGATATGATAGAATGATTTTTGATAGAATGAGAATGAGAATGCGAATGGAAGTGGGAATCGGAATTGAATGGAATGGAATAAATTAAAATTTTTATGAGTATATTTGGTACAAACTGATGGAATTAAAATTCCTGTTCAATCATAATATTTTGATATATAGGAAACTAAAAAAAAAAAATTCAATGATAAAAATACCATTTGTTATAAATATTTAAAAATTAAAAAATTAACTTTTAACATATTATAAACATATTAAAAAATTAAAAAATTAATTTTTTTATTCTAACATTAAAATATTAGATTCATATATATGTGTGTTTGTATGTATATATTTAATAAGTTTTATATATTATTATATAAATATAATAAATTATATAATATATATAATATAATATATAATATATCATATTATACAATTTATTATATTATAATATAAAATATTAGTATATAATATTATAAATACTTATAATTTTTTATTTATAAGATATTTTGGTCATTTATTTAAAAAATAAATAATATTATAATAATTATATAACTAAATAAGGATTTCACCACTCTAGTGAAGGAATCTAAATTTCCTTACTTGAAAGAATTCTCATTCATTAGGAAATAAGGATTCTCATTCCAAAGTACTTACTAGATATATTTTTTTTGAGATTTTCATTCTTATTCCCATTTATTCAACAGAATTCCATTGTACATATGTCACTTAATAAAAATATGAATCTTCATTTCATTAGTATGTACCAAATATACTTATAAAAATCTTGATTCCATACTATTTCATTCATTCTCATTTCTACTCCTATTCTCATTCCGCCAAAAATTATTCTATCATATATACGCCACCTAAGATGTCGTATGATAGGATGGAATCCTGGGAGAAAGAATGGAAATGTGAATAAGAGTCTTGTAAAATTATGTTTGATATGTATATTAGAATGAAAATCCTCACTTCTTAAGAAATGAAGATTCCCTCGCTAAAATAATAGAATCCTAATTCCATTCCATCAGTTAAGTATAAAATTATATTATTATTCTCTATATTTTTAACAAATGACAAGATTACTCAAAATATACCAAAAATCATATAACATGTTAATAATTTGAGACTTAAAAAAATTTAAAAATGAAAAATTAAATTATTAAAATATTAGACACCATTATATAAAGTTTTAATAATTGCATATATATATATATATATATTATAATACTGTATTATTGAATTATTAGATTTGAAATTTAATATTTAAGTTAGGATATAAATTTTTTGAATTTTGAATTTTGAATTTTTATTAAATTTATAATATATTAAAAATAAATTTTATTTAACTATTTCTAATAAAAGATATTTTTTTCTTTAATCATTTTTTGTTCCTTTTTCACTTCCATTCTAGAAAACCAAACATAATGATGGATAAAATTTTTATTTTATCAATATATATCAAACATATTTGTAACAATTTTGATTATATTCTATTTCTATTCTTATTTCAATCAAAAATTATTTTATTATACTATATACCACCTTGTTGATTTTTTAAGCTCTCTTTTTTGTCACTATACAGTTCGTTTTACCCCCTGGGAAACTGAGAAGTGTGTCATGACACTACACTATTGTGGCAAATGATCCTGTTTTGTTGCTTAGTTGTGGTCAGCATTCCTTTCTCCCCGTCAGCATACATTCAAGACTTTGTCATAGCATATTTCGATTCAAACCAAAGTTCAGATTCACTTAATTATACTGCTTATCACCATGTTCGGCATTCAAACTTGATGTTTATTCTCCTTTCAGCCTCCCCAAATCACCGGGGACCAGTGAAGTCATTTGCAATTATGATTTGGAAGATTTCTTTCTTTCCTTTGAAAAATTATCCATCAGATTTTTGAATGCTCCATTGTGTATGCATATAAAATTCAATTTAAACTAGATTAAAAGAAAAAAAAAGGCACAAAAATAGAAATGCAGAGGACTCATGTAGGAGCATAAGCAGCAATTTTTATTGGCAGTGGCACTCTAAAATTTTTATGCCATTTAATTAAGGTTAAATTTAATTTTTTCCACTAATAATTTTTCAAACATTTTGAATCCAATGACATTAAGATAGTGCCCATTTCATTCAAAAATGGATAAAATTATAAATCCTTTCCAAGTAACCCCTTCATAGAGTATTCAGACCAGTTTGTTTTCTCAAAATTGTTTAGCTCCTTTCCTCTTCACTAACATTAATCCAAAATATAATCTCATACGTAACTATCCAAAAACCAAATCCAATTAAATCAAAGAAATTGAAACTTAGCTTAATTGGAATTATCCCCACTGGAAATGGGTTCTCAAGCAGAGTATCCTTGAAATGAGCTTTCTTCTTACCACTAAAATGAACCATTGAAACAGCTCACCAAATAGATGTATTACGCATAAAATCTCCTTTCTATGTTAATGTACCTTCTGTTAAGGTAATTGAATTAGAAATGGGGTAATGTCTGCAATTATTCCATTTCCATTCCGTTTACAACTTTTGTAGCTCTTCGTGGTCCCAAACTTAGATCTGACTATTCCAATTAGTTTCAAAGATATAGAAGGTCTGATGGTGATAACGCATTTGAGAACATAATGAGTTAGCTAGTGTTTAAGAAGAGCTGCTTTGCACGGATCAGTTCCATCGGTGAGTGCTAGGCTTCTTGAAATAACAAAATCTGATGCATAATCTGAAATTTCAATGCATGAAATTCTTTTCCTATCAGCATGCACCAGATCCAATAAGTAAAAACCAAAAACTTTTCCAAATAGAAATCAGAAGGAAGCAGATATCAGTCTACTGGCGCTCTCTGTATCTCTCACAGAACTAATGGAAGATTAACAAATTATTTATGAACTAATATTAGTTATATAACCCATTTGTCACTTTTGGCTCCTGGGAAACTGACAAATTTCCAGATGTTGACGAAGATCTGTTAAACAAAAAATAATAAGAAAAAACAGCAGGAACAATCTCTTCTTTCATTAAGCAAGAGAAGCCACTGATCGTAACGTGTCACACGTCAATATTCATAATACTACAATGTCTCTCCCCATCCTGTTTTTGTTTATTTGTAGTTAACTTCGATTTCTTTCTACCCGCACTCTTGCACTCATTCAAGAATGCGTAAAAATGCAAAAAAGAAGGGTGGCTCTTGTAGGAGCAGGAAAACAAATAAAAATCAATTAAACATGATTCAAGAAACCTCCAATGTGAAATTAACAACAGCTTTATATCATAGGGGATAGCACAAGTGTACAAGACTCAACCATATCCAGGAGAAGCCCTAATAACTTAAGCTAAAAGACAACAAATTTATTTAAAAAAAATACAAGAGCGATCTGCTTCACAAAATAAACAACCTGGAATAACAACCTGGAATCTCAAACGGGATATGAAATCCCTGACTTACACATAGCAAATATTACATAAATAACAAGATGAAAAGCAGATCCATCCTTCAAGGAGTGGCTGGGTGAGATGGGATTGGTAGTTTAGGCAGTCAAGGCAATTTTGGCACTTCCACTTTAGGAAAAGCTGGTAATTCTGGCTTTGGAAGTTCTGGGATGTGGGGAAGTTCTGGCTTGGTAGTTCTGGGATGTGGGG